TGAAAATGCTAGGAAGATTGTTGAAATGATAAAAAAGATTTAGAATATTACATAAACTTAGTTGATAAAGTGGTGGGCAGGATTTGAGGGGATTGACTCAAATTTTGAAAGAAGTTCTGTGGGTAAAATGCTTTCAAACAGCATTGCATGCTACAGAGAAATCATTTGTGAAAAGAAGAGTCAATTGGCATGGCAGACTTCATTGCTGTCTTATTTTAAGTCCTCTTTAGCATATTAAAGTCCTTTTGGAAACCTCCCTTTTTCCTTACCTCCCCTAACTCCCAAATATATAATCAGTCATCCTCAAAACCCCAGGGCAGCAGCTCTTTTTGCCCACAGGTCCTGTCCCCATGCTTTAATAAAATCACCTTTTTCAAAAATGAAAACAAAAATCACCTTTTTCGCACCATTAAAAAAAAAAAAAGATACTGCCGCAGTCATCCCAACCTTCAGCAACCATCACCCTGATCAGTTAGCAGGACATCAACATGGAGGCAACACCCTCCACCAGCAAAAAGATTGTGACTCACTGAAAACGCATATGATAGCATTTTTTTTTAGCAATAAAGTATTTTTAATTAAGATATATACATTGTTTTTTAAGACATGATACTTTTGCACACTTAATAGACTACAGTATAGTGTAAACATAACTTATATGCACTGGGAAACCAAACAATTCATTTGACTCACTTTATTGTGAAGTTTGCTTTATTGTGGTGGTCTGGAACCAAACCTGCAATGTCTCCAAATTATGCCTTTATAAGTCTTTGCACTCCTTTTAGAACTTATTTCTAAGTATTTTATTCTTGTTGATGTTATGAGTGGGATTGTTTTCTTAATTTTATTTTTGCGATTGACCACCATTAGTATACAGACGTAAAACTGATTTTTGCATATGGATCATATATCCTTTGACATTGATGAACCTGTTTATTTGTTCTAGTATTTGGGGTGTGTGTGTGTGTGTGTGTTCTTTAGGATTTTCTACATGGAGGATGTTTCTGTCTAGAGGAGTTTACCAATATTCCAACTCCTTTTACCCCTGCTCATTTAGTTGTCATTACCCTTACAACTGTCAGTCTTCATACTTACCAATTGTTAAACACCAGGCCTTCAGTTCCTCCAATACTATTCTAAATCCTCACTATTCTGCTTAGACTACTCAGCTCTCAGCAGCTATGTGTCTTCCTTCATATTTCACAAAGGAAATTAATGTTATAACCACAGACATCATTTACTGTGAATGAAATGATGCTTAAATTTCAGATCCCTTCACTCAGGAGCCCCTTCTAAGGTTCTCAGAGGGCCCCTAGCAATAGTAAGGTGGCCTAATTGTAATTGGTTAAAATTCTTTCTTTTTCCACTCTGATTTCCCCTTTCTTAAACTTACGATGTTGGTGTGCCATTAGAGTAGTCACAAATATTTTGGGGGTCTGAGTAAGGGAAAATTGAGTTGGGAATACACTATTAAAGCTGCCATTTGGAAAGACATTTTAGAATGCTTCAATAATACAATCAAGACATCGGGGCACCTGGGTGGCTCAGTCGGTTAAGCATCTACCTTTGGCTCGGGTCATGATCCCAGGGTCCTGGGATCTAATCCCACATCAGGCTCCTTGCTTGGCAGGGAGCCTACTTCTCCCTCTGCCTGCCGCTCCCCTCCTGCTTGTTCTCCCTCTCTCTCTCTGACAAATAAATAAATAAAATCTTTAAAAAAAAAAAAAAAAGCAAGACATCACAGACTAAAAATCTGTATGTGTGTGAATTTTAAAAAATTAATGGAATAAAAACAAAGATCAAGTTAAGCATAGAAATTATTCTCACATAAAAATTGTAACTTTTTTCAGATTATATTACAGGTGAATTCATTAAGAGAAAGATTTTTTCAACAGAAGCTCTTGGATTATTTCATAATCCATTCAATGAAGTGGAGTTAATTATCCAAACACATTGAAGAAAGATTTAAGCGTCTGCCAATTTACAAAAGCTACTATCACTGAATACAACATAAAAATCATACCATTTCAAGGACATCTAAGATAAATTGGCTTATGAGCCTCCTCATTTCAAAGACAATTTAAGCCTAGTCATTTTCTGAAAACACTTGAAATGTTCCTAATCTTATAATCATATAAAAAAATTTGATAAGTTTTTTCCAAATTGGACAACGTATAATATTTACAATGTTATCAGTAATGAACCATAAAGCTGAAAGAATCTTTCAAAACTACCAATAATAAAAAACTAATGGCCATGCTAGATGAAAGGCTATATAATTTTTATATTTTCTCCACATAAAGTATTATATAAAATGGTTCTCATATGGACAAGTGGTTGTAGAACATGTAGACAAAAATTGCAAATAGGGTGTCTGGGTGGCTCAGTTGGTTAAGCCTCTGACTCTTGGTTTCGGCTCAGGTCATGATCTCAGAGTTGTGATATCAAGCCCCAAGTTGGGTTCTGTACTCAGCACGGAGTCTGCTCTAGATTCTTTCCCTCTCCCCCCACCCCTCCCCACCACTCAAGCATGGTGCACATGCTTGCTGTCTAAAAATAAATAAATAAAATCTTCAAAAAATAAAAGGTATTGTAGAGCTGTTACTTATTAGGAAGTTATATTATTTTCCTGTATTTTGTGAAATTGGTGGAATTCACCAACTTTAAAATTTTTATTTGTAATGATTTTTCTCATTCTATGGATAATTACACACTTTTAACCTAATTTTGTAGACACCATTTTTTTTTTTTTTTTTTTTAGAGAATAGGAGAGAGAGAGTGGGGGTGCAGAGGGAGAGGGAGAGAGAATCTTAAGTAGGCTCCACACCTAGCGTGGGGCCAGAGGTGGGGCTCAGTCTCACAACCCTGAGATCATGACCTGAGCCTAAATCAAGAGTCAGTCACTTAACCAACTAAGCCACCCAGGTGCCTCATGTAGACATCATTCTTATATTCTTTTTTTCAAGGAAGCTCTCCTCCCACTCACCACTAATCATATAAGATTTAGACCCCATAGAACATGGATCTGCTCTTGGCTAACAAGCTTGAATTTTCTGTTTCCAGCCTTTCTCCCTACAGAAGCACTTGAATCCACATCCAGTCTTTTTTTCTGTTAAATATTCTTGTAAGCCCTGATTCCCATGCACACGGCTTACTCTAGGAGCTGCCTTACACCAAACCATTAGCCCCTTGACCTTGGCTTAGTTCATAGCTCTTGTCTCCGTCTTAACCAGTTTCTGGTTCTACATTCAGACTTCCCATTCTCACTTTTGGCCCCCTTGATTAAGTGATCTATTTGGACTCCTCCTCTGCTTTTTGAAATTAACATCTCTCTTAGCTCCCAGCTCCGCAGGCTGATAGAGGCATCTCCTGTGGCTTCTCATCACTCAGGTGGACCTTAGTTACCAATAGAATGACACCACCCATTTTCCTGACAAAGGCTAATCTTTCAGCCTCTGCCCTACCTCTGTCCTTTCTAGGACTTTGCACAAGAAATTGACTGCATCTTTTTTCTGTTTTTATTTAGCCTCTGACTGTACTTGTTATTGTTACTTAGCTGTGTGCACACTTAGGTGTCTCCTGTCTTAACAAACCATTCTACTCTGCATTTTCCTCTTTCTCCTCTTGCCACTTAAGTCAAGGTTCTTGATTGCTGGTATCACCTAACTGTTTTGTCACTCCTGCTTTGTTGCTCTGTTCTTTCCTACCTAATGCCTCTCTCTGAGATCACCAGAGGCCTCCTTAATACCAGATACAGTGCACTCTGTTCAGCCTTTATCTGAAGGCTTAAACACTGACCACTACTTTTTTGTTTAAATTCTCTTATTTCCTGGACTTCAGATATTAATTCTTTAGGTTCTTCTTCTCTTTTACTCCCTCGTCTTTTTTGAGAGATTCTTTTCTGTTTTAGTCACATAAAACATTAGTGTTATCCAGTGTCTTATCCTCAGTACTTCTCACTTATTCATTCCTCCAACTGGGTGATCTATTATTTTTACTCATTCATTCATCAGTATTTGTTGAGTATATATTATGTGGTAGGTACTGTGCTAGGTGCTTGGAAAACTGTGTTGAATAAGACAGATATAGTCTCTGCATTATAGATTTAGTCCATTCAGGAAGATAATTATTAACCAAATAATTATAATTCCATGGCTTCAGTCATCATTTTTTGCTAATAACTACGAGATCTATGACTGAATCTTTTTTATTAGGTAAATTATAGCCAGGACATCTGAAGTAATAAAATCACTGAGATTGCGGAAAATCTGTGATTACTTTTTTTTTTTTAAAGATTTTATTTATTTATTTGAGACAGAGAGAATGAGAGAGACAGAGAGCACATGAGAGGGGGGAGGGTCAGAGGGAGAAGCAGGCTCCCTGCCGAGCAGGGAGCCCGATGCGGGACTCGATCCAGGGACTCCAGGATCATGACCTGAGCCGAAGGCAGTTGCTTAACCAACTGAGCCACCCAGGCGCCCAATCTGTGATTACTTTTGAACTGTGACATTTCATGAAGCAAGAGCACTAGATCAATCACTTTAAAAGGTATTCTTTATCACCCCAGGTTTTATACAGCCTGGAGAACCATGGTATGTAGCAAGAATACTGTCTAAGAATCTGAGATTTTCATTTTGGCTCTGTGATTAAGTCACTTTGACCTAATTTTCTTCACTAAGTATTTACTGTTGAATGAATTTAAAACATTAATTGAATTAATGTGTATGAAAAAGTTAGCTGTCTTTCTTTATAGTTAAAATAATGGAAATGAGTTGGGGTGACCATATACCTCAGTTTTCCTAGGATAGTTCCAGTTTATATCTGTCATCTCAGCAAAATACAAATAGCACCTCCTTTTACATTCAAAATTGTCTCCATTTAGACAGAAGATTATATGGTCATTCTCAAACCATTTTTCAAAGAAAACCATTTTTTCAAAGAAATATTTGTTATAATGCTTGCTATTTTTACAATTCCTAACTTTTTAAACTATTTTACAGTCAAAGATTGGTGGAGTACAGATATTTCTGGAATACGACTCTTTCATTACTTACTTTTACTAAAAGAGAGCTAACCAGTATTAAAAATGAAGTATATGATAATTTTCAAAACTGGACTTCACTGAAAGGAGAAGTTTTTCTACAAATTAAATCCATAAGTGAAACAGCCTTGACAGGTTTGTTGTGTATATTTAGAATGTAATCATCTTTTTTTTTGCTATATGGTACATTATAAGTAATGAAATAATCCTTCATTTTATGTGATGGAACTTATGATCCACTTTTAAATTTGTTGTTGGTTGGTAAACTAGCTGACCATTATGACTTATTTGAACCCTAAAATTCAATAATTATAGGCTGATCTAAAATAAACCATGATACATCTATCTTGAGCTGTGACCAGAAGTCTGTTTATTACTGTTAAATGTGCCAATTTGTATTTTAAAACTTTTTCTTCTGTTCATGATTTAGTATTTCATATCGGATCGGCCTTTCCTCAGATAACTGATAAATTCTGGACAGAATAACTACTTAAAAACACTGGAGAGTGACCAAAACCAAGCACATAACAGAGGGAATGTCAAATGTTGAAAGAATGCATATTACTAAGTGAAAGATGCCAATCTGAAAAGGCTACATACTATATGATTCTAACTAAATGACATTCTGCAAAGGGTAAAACTATAGATATAGTAAAGAAATATGTTTTTGCCAATGTGGGAGGGGAAGAATAGGTTGAGCATGGAAGATTCTTAGAGCAATGAAAATACTTTGTATGATACTATAATGGTGGATACATGTCATTATACATTTGTTAAAACCCATAGAATGTAAACACCAAGAGTGAATCCTAATATAAACTAAGGATTTGGGGGCAAATATGATGTGTGAGTGTAGGTTCATTGATTATAAGAAATGTCCCACTCTGGTGCAGGATTTTGATGATGGAAGAGGCTATGCATGTGTGAAGACAGAATTTATATGGAAATTCTCTGTACTTTCTGCTTAATTTTACTATGAACCTAAAACTGACATATTTTTTTTAAAGGCTATGAATTTTTTTTAGTTAAAAGAAGAGAATGGAACTGGGTGAATTCCCTGGGGTTTGGTTTCCATTTTTGTTTGTTTGTTTAAGGCTATTAGGTTGAGAGCAGGGTACAGTGTGTTCCATGCAGGGAAGCTAAAACTCTGATATAAATCTACAGTCTTTTGGATTGAAGATTGGAGGACATAGATTAAGGCAGCCTCTGAGAAAGAATATTCCAGAAAAGAGGTGATCAGAGAGGAAGAGCTCAGAGTTTGCATATAAGCTCTTTCCAAATCTTTGGCCTATTCCTGAAATACATGTACACAGGGAAGACTTGAAATAACCCATCAAAGGCCAAAATAATTGATATTTTCGCTGCTGCTTACCCAAGGGGAGACATATTTTACAGTTTGAGTTCAGCCAAGTTAACTGCTTGTTAAAATAAAACAATGTCAAAATCACTACCCTTTAGAGGAACATAACAGAATTCAGGGTCTCCATAACATAAAATCCCCAATGTTCAGGATACACCCCAAATTTCTTGGTATGGGAAGAAACAGGAAAACATGGCCCATACTCAAGAGATTAGTCAGCGGAGACCAACCCTGAGTTGATCCAGATGATAGAAATAACTAACCAGGATTTCAAATTAGCTGTTAACTATGTTTAATGACATAAAGAAAATAAGCTAGTAATGAGTGAAAAGACAGAATATCTCAGCAGAAAACTATTAAAAATTGGATATTCAAGAATGGAAAAATACAGTATCTGAAATAAAAATTTACTGGATAGACTTCTATAGCATATTGTGATTATAGAAAAAAGAACCAGTGAATTTAAGATAGATCAATAGAAATTATTCATTTTGAAGAACAGAGATAAACATTGAAAAAAAATGAACAGAACCTCAGGGCCCTTAGGATGGATTAAAATATACCATAAGTGATAAATATGGGTAAGAAAAAAGACTTTTTTCCTTTGAATTTAAAAAAAAAATGTATATTCTTATTTAAAGTAGGAATTATATGTGGGTTTTATAAAGTATGTTGATTTAACTTATGACAGCTAGAACATAAAGGATGGAGAGAAGGAGTAAATAAACCCAAATAGTTGTACTCTTTTTGTATTTTATGTGATATGATGCAATATATATATGTAGACTAAAAATGATATATAACTCATAAAGCAACCACTAAAAAAAAAATACAAAAAGACAAAGCTAAAAAGATAATAAATAAACTAAAAAGTAACTCTTTTAAAAGTATCCAAACAGTGGAGAATTAATGTCACCTGTCTCTAAGATTTATATGCATAATGGCATATGGATCATCAGTAGATCACTGGAACAAAATAGCCAGGTAAATGATCCTATTTGTATGATTATTTCACTTTTGACAAATGTGCCAAAACAATCCAATGGGAGAAAGAAAGTCTTTCAACAAATTGTAATAGAATAACTAAATACCCATATGGGAAAATATACCTCAACTCCTTCATTACATTGTACATGAAATTAATTCAAGATAAATCATAAAACTAAATATAAAAGCTAAAACTATCAAAGAAGAAATAGAGCAAAATGTCTTCATGAATTGGTAGTAAATGAAGGTTTATTGGATAGGGCATAGAAGTAAGAAAAATACCAAAAATTGATGTGTTAGACTTTATCAAAATTAAAAACTTCTGTTCATCAAAAGATGCTGTTAAGAAAATGAATAGGTAAGCCACAGACAGAAAAAATACCTAAAAAAAAAAAATGTGACGAAGAACTGCTGTCCAGCCTACATAAAGAACACCAACAAGTCAGTAACAAAAGGACAAAAAATCCAATCAAAAATGGCCAAAAAATCCAATCAAAAATGGCCAAAAGCAGACACTTTACAAGGAAACACATACAAATGACCAATAAGGACATGAAAAAGTGTTCAACGTTATTGGTCAAAAGGGAAATGCAAATGTCAATAGTACATACCCACCAAATTGGTTAAAATGAAAAAGATTTAAAACAGTGGATGTTGGTGAGGAAGGAAAGCAACTGGAACTCTTACGCAAACAGGTGAGAGTATAAAATGTTATAGCCACTTTGAAAAAAGATCTGACAGGTATTTTTTATAAAACTATACACATATCCAATGATCCTTGAAATTCTTCTCTTTGGTATTGATGCCCCCTGCAAGTAAAAACATATGTCCACACATTTATCCTAAAGAAGTGTTCCTTGTGGCAGGCTTGTAGCCTTAAATAAGGGAAGAAAATTAATGTTCTTAGAGTTTAAATATATTTATTAATATATAACTAATATAAAATATATATATATTTTAATATATTTCTATATATAGATTTAGACCCACATGCATAGGCTGAACTGATTTTTTATGGTATGGTATTCCATTTATTTATTTTTTCTTTTTTTATATATTTTTAAATTTAAATTCAATTAATTAACATATAATGTATTATTGGTTTCAGAGGTAAAGGTCAGTGATTCATCAGTCTTATATAATACGCAGTGCTCATTACATCACATGCCCTCTTTAATGTCCATCACCCAGTTATCCCATCCCTCCATCCCCATCCCTGCCAGCAATCCTCAGGTTGTTTCCTATGATTAAGAGTCTCTTTTGGTTTGTCTCCTTCTCTGGGTTCATCTTGTTTTATTTTTTCTTCTCTTCCCCTATGATCCTCTGTTTTGTTTCTTAAATTCCACATATCAGTGAGATCATATGATAATTATCTTTCTCTGATTGACTTATTTCACTTATCATAATACCCTCTAGTTCTATCCATGTCATTGCAAATGACAAGATTTCATTTCTTTGATGGCTGAATAGTATTCTACTGTATATGTATATATATATATGTGTGTGTGTGTGTGTATATATGTATACACACACACCACATCTTTTTTATCCATTCATCTGTCGATGGACATCTCAGCTCTTTCCATAGTTTGGCTATTGTGGACATTGCTGCTATAAACATTGGGGTGCACATGCCCCTTTTGATCACTACATTTGTATCTTTGGGGTAAATACCCAGTAGTGCAATTGCTGGGTCATAGGCTAGCTCTATTTTCAACTTTTTGAGGAACCTCCATACTGTTTTCCAGAGTGGCTGCACCAGCTTGCATTCCCATTAACAGTGTAGGGAGGGTTCCCCTTTCTCCGCATCCGCGCCAACATCTGTCGTTTCCTAACTTAATTTTAGCCATTCTGACCAGTGTGAGATGGTATCTCATTGTGGTTTTGATTTGTATTTCCTTAATGCCAAGTGATGTTGAGCATTTTTTCATGTGTCTGTTGGCCAGCTGGAGAAATGTCTGTTCATGTCTTCTGCCCATTTCTTGACTGGATTATTTGTTCTTTGGGTGTTGAGTTTGATAAGTTCTTTATAGATTTTGGATACTAGCCCTTTATTTGATAAATATATTTATTAATATAAATATATTAAATATATTTATATGTATAAATTTAGATCCACATAAGTATGCTAAACTGATTTTTGACAAAGGTAAGCAAGCAGTTCAGTGGAGGAAGGATAGCCTAGCCGCCCCCCCTTTTTTTAACAGATTGAAAGTAGTAACAGAGACAGTGGAGTAACTGGAGTAATTACTAGAGTAATTGGTTATCCATAGGCAAAAAAAAAAAAAAAAGAACGCTTGACCAAAACCGTTCACCTTATACAAAAATTAATTCAAAATGGATCATAGATCTAAAGGAAACTAGAAAACTAGAAAATCTTTAGGACCTAATATTCTCAGACTTGAACTAAAAGCATGATACATAAAAGGAAAACTTGATAAATAGAACCTCAACAAAATTAAGTTTTGCTCTGTGAAAGACCCTGTTAAGAGGATGAAAAGGCAAGTTACAGATTAGGAGAAAATATTTGTGGACCACACAAAGGACTTTTATCTAGAATACATGAAAAGTCTCAAAACTCTACGTTTTAAATAAACAGACTCATTAGGAAATGGGCAAATTATATCAGCAAAAATTTCATCAAAGAGGATATGCAGATGGAAAAAGGCACATGAAAAATTGTTTAACATCATTAGCCAATTAGGGAAATGAAAATTATAACATTATGAAATGAAATACGCATCTATTAGAATGTCTAAAATTGTAGAGGTTTCCTAAAAACATAATAACCTAAAATAATTTTAAGTCCATGTGGCTGAGCTAACAGGACTAAGAAGAACAGAAGAATCTTATCAAGATTTTATATAATCAATCAGAAATTGATTATATAAGATTAATACTAATAATTGTACTTACATTAGCTAACGTTATATAATACTTAGTCTAGATCTAAAAACCTATATTAGCTATAAACTTTGACAATATTACAGGCATTTTACATGATAAATACTTTTTTTTTTTTTTTAAATACCAGCTTTTGGGGCGCCTGGGTGGCTCAGATGGTTAAGCGTCTGCCTTCGGCTCAGGTCATGATCCCAGGGTCCTGGGATCGAGTCCCGCATCGGGCTCCCTGCTCGGCAGGGAGCCTGCTTCTCCCTCTGCCTCTCTCTCTCTCTCTGTCTCTCATGAATAAATAAATAAAATCTTAAAAAAATAAAAAAATAAAAAAATAAAATAAAATAAAATAAAATACCAGCTTTTATTTGTGATCTACATGGATATATCCTTATGGGGTGAGTTGATTGTGCATGGCATAGTTCTTCAATTGAAAAGTTGATACAAAAACATGAAACATTTTTATTAAAATAACCTCCTAATTCATAATCCTAATTCCTTTATCCTAACATAATTGTTTTCATTTTCCCACTTTATCTTCTAGTCCAACACATGCTCATTTATTTTTGGCATATTGTAATCACAATCTAAATGCTAATTTATATTCCAAAATGTAGTGTTATTGGCTGAATTTGTCACTCCCCCAAATTCATATATTGAAGTCCCAATCCCTGAGAATATAACTATATTTGGAGTCAGGGTCCTTAAAGAAATAAATTTAAGTAGGTGGGCTCTAATCTAATATGATTGGTGTTTCTAAAAAAAAAAAAAAAAAAAGAGGAAATTTGGAAACAGACACAGACAGAGGGAAGAGTCTTGAAGACACAGGAAGAAGATGGCCATTTACAAGCCAAGAAGAAAGGCCTGGAAGAGATCCATCCTTCATGGCCCTCAGAAGATACCAACCCAGCTGATTCCTTGATCTCAGATTTTTTAGCCTCCAGAACTGTGAAAAAAGCAATCTCTGTTGCTTAAGCTACCCAGTCTGTGGTACTTTGTTACAGCAGCCCTAACAAATTAATAAATGTCATGAACCACGTAAACATTGCACAATATTGTTCAAGATACTTTAAAAGATTTGCACATTAAAATTTAGGTTTAAAATCAAAGTCCAAAACAGAAACAGTATTCCTAGAAAAGGCATTGTTTAATATTTTCTTGCTGACAAAGTATGTTAATTATTGAATAGCAGATATGAGTGAAATATTTCTTACCCCTCTAATGAGTGGCTTTCTCTTTATGTAATCAAGACTTTTAAGTTCAAATGTTCATAGATTAAGTTTTCTTAAACCAGAGCACACCTATTTTAATAAGAGAAATTTCAGGAAAAAATATTTTTAGTGTAGAATCACCACACTAAAGTTAGAATATTTTAAGTGTATAATTAATTTGCTTCCATTCTCAAAGTAACTTGATTGAATAGCTCTTGAACTTTTAAAATCCAAGTTCTGAATTAGGTTTAGAAACGTAGTCCACATTTTTCATAAAATTGAAGAAATTGGGGATAGAATAGGCCTATTTGCTTATCCTATTAAAACACACATTGCTTATGTGTTTTTTTTGCCTTATCTAGTCTGACATTAAATAATCTGGGGCTCAAAATGCTTGCCTATGAAGTGAAGGTAAGGTAAGACAAAAAAAATACTCAGGATATTCAACTAGTATATCAGAAACTATTTAGAAGTTTTGCTCGATAATGACTTTACTCATTTGGTAACTATCTGTTGAGCTCCTGTTATTTCTAGGACATCATTGGTAATAATTATGGGTGGAATAAAAATTAAGATATTATCTCTGACCTAAAATAACTTATGGTCTAATAGTAGATCATACATATACATATGATCAGTGCAGTAAAAATGGTGTAAAGTGGAGCAAGTTCTAGGAAGATGTAAGTCACTTCCAGATTGGGTCAGAAAAGATTTCCAGGCCGTGGTAGCATGTGGGCAGCGGCAGGCCAAATGAATGAGGTTAGGAGGACCTTCTCCATGGGGGTGCTGAGACAGGGAAAACACAAGGTGGGTACAATGACCAGAATAGGTTAACCTGGTGGAGATCATAACTTCTGAACTCCAAATTGGGACACATGACTGACAGATACGAAGTTGTAGAATGATGAGTATAGGATTGAATATTTGACAGTAGGATTGCCAAACAAGAAGGGATGCGTAATTTGCCAAAGGTGAGTTAATTCTCTCCTAATTCATTGAGTTTACTCTCCTAATTCCATGACAGAAACACAGCTCCTGTTAGTTTGGAAATCTTGCTGTACTTCTCCATGTGTTAGAATATATTTCACAAATAAATTTGTATTGCAGATTCTTATTCTTTTAATGTCAGAAAGTCATGTTGACATGAGTAGTTATTTTAGAGACAGATAGTAGTGTACACTTACAGAGTCAGCCTGCTAACCTAAGCAGTATCATGCTGGCAAATGAAAAATAGGTGACAGCATGTGCAGGCTCCTCTGCAGTGTCATTCTGACTTAAACATAGACAGATATGATTAGGATACGAAACAATTTATTCAGCACAAGTAGCCACCTTTATGGATACAGAAATACCCAAGACTCTTTAGGCGTGAAGAAAAACCGCAACCTCCATATTTTTTAAAACTCTCTTCTTTTAAAATTTTATGCACTAGTGTGTTATCTGTTTTCTTGTACAAATGGGTACATATCCATAAGTATTTAGAAGCATATAGTTATTCCTAGGAAAAAGATTTCCATGTAAAGTAATCATTGGAATATAGTAGAACCTTACTTATTTGGTCTCTGTCAGTTTATCCAGGTTTTCCTTTTTTTAAAAAAAGATTTTATTTACTTGAGACAGAGAGCATGAGTGGGGTGAGGGGCAGAGGGAGAAGCAGACTCGCCATTGAGCAGGGAACCCAATGTGGGGCTCGATCCTAGGACGCCAGGATCATGACCTGAGCTGAAGGTAGACGCTTAACTGACTGAGCCACCCAGGCGCCCCACCAGGTTTTCCATTTTGAGCAATAATTAAAAGTGAAGAAGACACTAGACCCCTTGTGCTCATGCCCTAGATCTGTCTTAAAGGTCATGTTTTCTTCCAGACCTACTCTTCACCCACAGAAAGACATTTTGCTTTTCTCTCCTTGGACCCCATTGGTAATCCTGTTCATCACCATCCTTTAAGGCATGTGCTCTTCCCTGTGCTCTGTCTAGCCTACCACTTTACTTCTCCTGTAACGACTTACCAGCCATATTGCCTCTGCTGCCATGTCCGTTTTATGGATCTCTGATTCTGGTTTTCATTCGCCCCTGTGGCTGCTATTTCTGCTGTGGTGGCTCCAAGTCCAAGACAAACTCCTCTGATACCCAGTCACGTGCTAAACCCATCACATGGCCCAGGATAAGCTAACCAAGGAAGGGGATTCCAAGTGAACGATCTGAAAAAGCAGACTATCCAGATTTGCACATAGATCATATCCTCATCAATTCAAATTAATTGTGGTTGTACAAAGTTTATGGTATTTTGTCATTATTGTTTGGTTCTTTAAATGTTTTAATACTGGTTTAAGACAGTAGTGCTGAAGAGACTGATTAAGGGAGAGCTTGATAATTATTCTGAAGGATAATATGCTCCATGCATTTCTCACAAAATTATATAAAATTAGCACATTTAAATACACATAATGCTATGAAGGCATATTTTTATTAAGCTTAATCTAAGTAGATAGAATAAGGACAAGTGATTGCTATAATGAAATTCTGGTCTCATTTTGAGGCCACAGAGTATTATTAGAATCATTAAGGTATATTAACTAATATTTTCTGCCCATAAATTTATTAGTTTTAGACACTGCATCATTTTATTCCTCTCCATCCCTACTGCCTTTCTTCATAATTTGTATAGAATGTACCCTAATTACTCTCCTAGAAATGCCACCCAACCAGCTCATGCTAGCACATTTAAATTTACTTTTCTGAATCATGTTGTCAAGAAAACAATTTAATTTCAATAAAACTCAGAACATTATGCAGATATTGTGTTCATTTATGTGAATATTTGAAAAGCAAGATGGATTGCCATTTAATACAATTTAAAGGCTAAACTACTAAAAGTTTTCATACATCATTTAGCAATATAATTGTTTTTCTTATTTTTTCAGAATAACTACTAAATTTAAATTTTTTTGGTTAGGTGTCATTATGCTGACACAGAAGTCATCTTAACTCTCAACTATTAATTTTCTAAAAGGAAATAATCATTCTATGGGGAAATGATTTATGATTCAATTTTGTCTATTTGTAAACTTTACATTTTCCTTACAGAAATAGAGATACTAAAGAAAAGTTTGACAGTGTCCCAGAGAAATAAGATATGCCTTGAAGAGGAAATGAAAAATCTGAAATTGTTGTCAGATGCAGCCATGTTGAGGTCTCAGCAGATTCAGACATCCAAACAACAGGAAGTAAACTTGCAAACCAGATGCCATGACTTGCAAAAAGAAGTACTAGGTAAAAGAGAATTATTTTTTGCTGCTGTTAGCAACTAGCCATAATAAAATCTTGCTTTAATTAGTTTGTGTTACAACTATGCCTGATTATTAGTGACTATGTCAATAACTGTGTCTGTGATCAATGTTTACTATCTTCCCTTCCCATTCTGCTATTTAGAGTGATGAGACTTAAGTGAATATACTCTTTCATTTTCCCAAATGAAAATATTAAAAATTGTGTTTTGGGCACCTTGGGCAAAGTTTTAAAAATTTCTACCTCAGATGAATTAAGTGTCTTGGCACTAAGGCTATGGAATTTGTACTTTTCCCTAGAGGCAGTAGGAATCGTTGAAAATTGGTAATCTGGAGAATGATATAATACAAGCAGTGTTTTAGCAAAAATGAGCTATTAGCAGTGATTGGAGGTGTTCCAAACATCAAGCAATTGGATCCAAGTAGCCATTTAGAAACTATCTTTGCTGGTAACCCAGGCCTAGACTAACTGTAAGAAACTGAAGTAGAAAGGGAACTAACATATTTTAGGTCCTAATGTGCACTGTATTTAAATTACTTCTGTCAATTCCCACAGTGACCATGAAAAACAGGTATAATTATCCCATCTTGCAGAGGAGAGAAAATAGCCTAGAAAGGTTAACATGCCTGTTTTCACATAGCTGGTAAATGGCAGGGAGTGAAAGCAAACCTAGTCAGATTGCAGGACTCATGCTTGTCCCAGTATGTTTCCTTGGTCCTCTTTATGGCCACAATGGGAAAGCTAAGACAGAATCAGGATTGAGCAGACTACTCAGGACTAGGGAGATAAACACCTGACTGAGTAGCCAGGGAGAGAAGGAAGTCACAGATGACTTCTGAACCTCTTTTCTTGGGAGTGGGAACATACCACAGACTAGGAAATCTGGAAAGAAACTGGTATTGGAATGGAAAATAGGATTCATTACACGAACTTGGAGCAGATACCAGACATTTTAATTTTCCCTTCTGTGGATTGCCTATTTATAGATTTTGCCAATTTTCTATTGCGTTACTGGAATTTTCCTTGATAATTTTTAAAAAAAGTTTATAAGTATAGTAATTATTTATATTCTTTTTTTTCTAACATATAATTTGTTGACTTTTTATGGTAAATTTCACCATATCAAAGTTTTTCATTTTGTTATGATCAAATTACTGTCTTTTATTATTTTGGGTTAGTTTTGGTTAAAATAGTGCCTCTCATCCTTAAATTGCACAGATAGTCTCCTGAGTTTTCCTACATTTAAGTCATTAATACATGTAAGATTTATTTTTTATATGGTGTGAGATGTGGGGATCTAGTTTTATTCTTTCCAAATGGATAACCAGTTGTATCAGTATTATGTATTAAATAATCCATCCTTTCCACTGAATAGAACTATCATCTGTCATATGTTAAAATTTTATGTATGCTAGCATTGATTACTATGTTCTGTCTTCTGTTCCACTGATTTATTTAATATACCACTGATACATATTCATTTGAATATAGTGATGTAATAGCATATTCTCAAAGCTGGTAAGTCTTTTCTCTCTCCGCTGTTCTTTTTAAATATATATTTGGAGGAGTTACTCTTTCATTTGAACTTTTTAAGATCTTTTATTTACTTCTAATCCAAAGACTCTAAATAGGTACCTAGTAAAGTTTTTCTCTACATATTCATAAGCAGTTATTCTTCCACATAAACATTAAGGTAATTCATTTAATTCTAATCCTAACAGGGATTCTAGCTGGAATTGCATTATATTTATATAGTAAATTTTGGAGAATTGACATTTTAGTGGTAGTAAGTCTTTTTAATATTATCAAAGTCTTCTCATTCAAGAATATAATGTCCTTTCATTTCTTTAAATTTGTTTTCAAATGATTTCATAGTTTTTTTTTTTTTAAAGATTTTATTTATTTATTTGAGAGAGAGAGAGAATGAGAGAGAGCACATGAGAGGGGGGAGGGTCAGAGGGAGAAGAAGACTCCCTGCCGAGCAGGGAGCCCGATGTGGGACTCGATCCCAGGACTCCAGGATCATGACCTGAGCCGAAGGCAGTCGCTTAACCAACTGAGCCACCCAGGCGCCCCTGATTTCATAGTTTTATTTGAATATGTTTCTTTGTCATTCTTGTTAAGTTTATGACTATCATGGTTTTGCATCTACTATAAATGGACTATTTTCTCTATTTCAGCTTCTTGATATTTGTTTTTTTGTTTTTGTTTTTGGATTTTTTTGGTGCAAAAAAGTGTTTTTATTATAGTACAGGGACAGGACCATGGGCAGAAAGAGCTGCACTGGGATTGTGAGGACTAACGGGTTATATACCCTTTAGTTAGTGGGAGTTAGGGATAGTCTCTAAGGAATTTGTGCATGTTAAAAGTAAGGTCTCCAGGATCTTGGAGGGCTAGCTATTATTAAGATAAGGTTGCTTTTAGTCTTCAATGAAACATCAACAGTACGGCAGCCATGAATTCCTTGAGGAATGTCACACTCTGCATGCCTCGGATTTATCAGTGACCTGCAAGTTGTAAGGAGACTATTTTAGCTGCATTTCTCTTGCCTTTGTTCTCCTCATCATTTATCCCCTGAACAGTTTTGATTTAAATTTTTAAGGTTGCTGAGGGTGAAAGGTTTTATCTTCTGTAACTTTTCCCTGATGAATAGGGGCATAGAGATGTCCCTACCTCGGGGTCAACATTAGTCAGTTGGGGATGTAGGTGTTATGAAAAGCAGAGACAGCTGAATCCAAGGTAGACAACATATATGAAATCTCCTTGAGTAGAAAGGGTCATCTGTCAGCTTGATCTTATGACAGTGAAGGAGTCTTGGCACCAGGTGGAGAAACATTGGAAAAAAACAGCGAAACGTGATTAAAATTATTATGAGAAAAAGAAGCCCAATAAAGAGACCTTTGATAGTTGGCTAAAATCCTCCTCCAGTCCAAGAATTTATCCAATCTTGAAAGGAAAGGGAGGGATTGTTTAAAATGCCAATTTTAATATTTATATCTTTTAGCAATTCTGTTACATTTTTGTGATAATCTGTAATATATACATAGCATTCTGTTTTTATGATGGCACGTGTTCACCCTGTGCAGCAGTTAAAATATCTAATGCCATTTTATTTTGGAGAACTGCTTTATGAATGAGTTATTTCAGTGTTTAATAATGTAATGCTATTTTGAGAGTCACTTAAGGCCTTAATTGTGGAGCAGGTGGTGTTAGCCATCATATAGACTGTTTTGTTTAGCAAGCAATCAGATAACAAGAGGCACTTTTATGGAAACAAAAGAAAAATATAAGTTCGTGGTTGGAGCAAATTACAAACCCAGTGTCTGAGTCTCCAGTACTGCCAGAGAGATTTCCAGATCGCCGGTTTGAAGCATCCTCAGACAGACTGGGATCAGGCCATGGGAATCAGATGAATTTTTCTGGTTTGTAATTTAAATGTCTCTGGTGATCCTTTTGAATGGCCCATAGTGCCACAGGCACAAAGATTGTCTATACATGAGTTTTGTGGCGGTTTCTTTGAAGCTACCCTCAAGTTGCCCAGCATCAGTTTTCAGGGCTTTAGGAAGAAGAGCAGTTTTAATTAAGAGGATGGAAGAAGATTGGAAATCTTGGTATTTGTTGATAGAATAAAGAAAGACTATTGGTTTTTGTGTATTTGTCTTATATCTATCGACTTTATAAAATCCTCATATTAATTCTAGTAGTTTTTTACTAGTATCTCTTGGATTTTCTACAGTTATATCACCTGCTCCAACACCCCTGAAAAAGAGTTCATCTATTTTTTCCAGGGTTTATATCTGTTATTTTATTTTCTTGTCTTGTTCATATCTTTTTAAGTTCATTTGAACTGAGACTGTGTTAAATAATAATGATGACATTGAGCATCCACATCTACTTCCTGATTTTAATTGAAATTATTTGGTGTTTTGTCACTTGGGATTATATTTGATGTTTTTGGTAAATATTTATTTTTAATTAACCGTTTTACTTCTATTCCAATTTTACTTAGATGTTTTATGTGAAATGCTTTTGGATTTTGTTAAATGCCTTTCAGCATCTATTGATATAATAGTATTTTTTCCCCTTTAACCAACTGGTAAAATGGATTAGTATTATTGAATTCCCTGAATTTCTTTGGTCTCTTGGATTAAGCCCTACATCATTTACTTTTTAAATATATCATTTCCTACATGGTTATATTTTATTTATAAATTTGGTACATGTATATTAATAAGTGAGATTGGTTTATAAATGTTTCTTTATTAGGGGGCACTAATTTTATCAGAGTTTTGCCTTAAAATTAAGTGAATATCATAAGTGCTCTTATTTTTAAATATTTCCTCTATCTGTGGCTAGGCCTGGTTTCTGATTTTTAATCTTATCTATTTTTGCTTTATCTTTTATTATTTATCAAGCTTGCAAAGCCTTTGTTTTTTTAGTCTTTTCAAAGAACTAGCCTTTGTATTTTTTTTATGCTTTCCATTACTTTTATTTTCCATAACATTAACTTTTTGCTTCTATATTTATTAATTTCCTATCCCTAGTTTCTTTTTGTTTTATTTGTATGTTTTTATTTTTCAGACTTCTGAAGGGAGTACTTAGTTCTTTTATTTCTCATCCTTTTTTGTTTAATAATAGAGACAGTTAAGGGAATAAGTTTTCCCTTGAGTAAAATTTTCTCTGTCATATTTTTAATATGAATTATTCTCCTTTTCAGTGCTATCTAAATACTCTAATTTCTCATTTTTTTCTTTGGTGAAAGGGTTATCTAGGAATATATTTCTTAATTTCTCAATAGTTAATTATTTGGGGAAGGAGTTACTTATTATTTATTTAATGTGGGGGTATTCTGACTAAATGTGACTTATAATACCTTTTTGAATTTGTTAAGCTTTCCTTTATGTTGTGTACATGATCAGTGTTATAAATGTTCCTTAGAAATACAAAATGTAATTCTCAGCTTGATGGATATAAGTGTATCTCAG